TCACCATGACGACAACAAAACAACTGGCTAACAAAGGTTGCTTATGATGGGATGTTTGCGGTAGGTGTGACTGAAAATAGAGGAACTAGAAATGCAAATTATATACGTATTTTAAATAGTTAATGTTACATTTAGTTAGATGGGTACTCGGGCACTGAGTTTACTGGCCATAAATTGCCCCATTTAATTGATTCGCGTGTGTTTTATTACAGTCAAGAACGACCTTGATACAACTTCCTCCTCCTCATCGTTCGTTTAGTCCTGAGGGAGAGCGCAAATAAAACAGTACTTATGGCAACCGCCGTAAATAGCCGGAACAGAGGCAACTGTGAAAGGACCTTCTTCCTTTCATGTTGACTAAACCCCTTCACATAGCCATAATCGTCTCACGGCGGGAACATTTACAACTTCATCCTCACTGACTCACTCGCCCAACAGGCCTTTGATTTAATGTCGTGGATAACAATCTAACAAGACTGAGTTTAAAGTTTTCCCGTTCACTTTTACTTCCCATGCCAGAAAATCAGATAGGATGACTCAAAGTTGCCGGGGAATGGAAAAGTGTGATTCTGTGAACTCCCTCATGACTGCGAAAACGTTCTTCAACCCGAAGTTTCTGATGGAAAAGATGAAGATGGCAGACGGAGTAGTGATTGTGTCTGGATGTGTCACATGGCTACTTCTGTCCAACCCGTGCGAGGTGAAGATGACCGAAGAAGGTGTATGAGGACGACACAACTACATCTGCCGGCGATCCAACCATAGAGAAGTAGGCTTCTGAAAAGCTGGAAGCGTCAGTCGCGACTTGACGCATGAGGAGGGGGTTCGGGTGTCAAGTCAAGCCATAAAACTGAATTGCAAAAACAGCGGTTTGACAGATTTCCCTCAGAAGTGAAGTGTTGGGAGTAGAGGGGTTGTCAGGAGCACAAGTTCACCAGGCACAAAGATAAAAGTGTTCCAAAAGGGGGGATCTGCGGCAGATGGCTGACTCCAGGAAAATCAGCGCTTTGTAAACCAGGATTAGCAATGATGAGGGAGGCAGGGTGAAATTTTTTGACAATTTCTGACCAAAGACACGCATTCCACATATTTGCGCCCATGTTAAACTCGGTTTTTAGGTCAGTCAAGTTAGAATCACATCGCACGGGTACATTCCATCGTCGGGGCGGGGGGGGGGAGAGCAGCATACCAATAGACTGACACAGGTTTTAGCCATCCTTTATAGCTTGTAGATACTATAAACAGGCGGCCTTACAAATTATCGCGGCGTCATTGCAGTGAGCCGAATCTTTAAAGTCGGCCAGGAATTTTGTATGTGTCAGCAAAATCTAGCTGCTAAAATTCCATTCTTTTTGCTGAAGGCGGGGTGAGCCGGGGGGCGGGGAAGCAAACTTTGAAGATAAATTTGTCAAAGGTAAATCAACCATAGAGGGCTCCAAACACACGCATTGTTTGCAAAATAACTGGTTGCGTTGGTGATAACAGGATCCAAGGTGGGGGGCGGAGGGGGGGCGTGGAGAGGGCAGTGGGAAGCCATAACATTGCTGCATGAAATTTCCGCTCCCCTTCTAATAATAAGCCACTCATACAATGACCCAGGATTAAGTGTTTCTCCTCCTCCTCCTCCTCCT